TATTATTATTATTATTATTATTATTATTATTATTATTATTATTATTATTATTATTATTATTAATGTGATGAACTGAAAACAAACCAGGCTCCAGTTTCTATACTTTTCATTTGGCCAATGAGGTGTATATTTGTCGTCTGTTGCTAATTTTTCCAACGATTTCGAGTGATAAAGCTAAAAATCAATGGATTTGAAAATCCAGCCTTACAACTGTTGTCAGTAGCTAATGATTACTGACAACAACTTAACATCTGTTTTCATCAGCAGTTAGGATTAAATGTTTAACTAAACGAATTATCGTGTTACTGCTGCACACGATATTGCCTCATCCAGCATGAGATACTCATATCGATAAGCCCGAGCGGTTTTGTTATTCTTGGTAATCGAGATATCAGAATTTCGTCAATATTCGCATATAGGAAGTCTAAAAAGTTACTTCTCAATCTCTCCTCAAGCAAAAATTCCTTAAGAAAACACTTCTAGGTTCTTCGTCACAAAAACTTCAAACTAGAAGAAAAGCTCGAGTTTTTTGAGATTTTCTTCGTTTTTTTCAGAAGTGATTTTGAGGGAAAAAAGTACTTACAGGCTGAGGATCGCGGTGAAGGGGATGCACTGGTTGCACAAGACCGTGAGTCCCGAGATCACTTGCCAAATGAAGTAACCTCATTTAAACGCCGACTAATCAGAATTCGATCAGTAAGCGATACGAAGTAGCAGCACACCTTACGTCTGTGTGCAAGTTTGTTGATGAGCCGAAGTGTTCCGGACCTCACATATTTCACCTCATTTTGCTCCCTCATCCCTCACTGGTTCTCGTTCTCTGCTTGACGCCAACTTCAAGCATCAAGATGGAGGAGGGTAGGCGAGAGTAGGGGAGGCTCGAGTTATTTTTTTTTATTGGTATATCGCAAATGTCTGATCCTCAGGAACAGCTGTTGCGCCCTCACTCATCGATGATACTGATGGGAGACAAAAAAAAAAAAGAATTTGAGGGGAATGCAGCATGTGATTCCGATAACATCCTTGGAAACGAACTTCTGAGTAACAAAAAGTTTTCTGAATATAATATTCAAAAATATTAGGGAATCTCCGATCAAAATTAAGTACCACTTCTGAATGAATAAAAACAAAACGAATATGAGGATTACCAGCAGGCCGACCATCAGAAGATGCAGTATCGGTCAAAGCAAATGGAAAAGTTGTCAACTGCGCAGCTCGATAATCAGGCAGTGATTCGTAGTTGAATAGAATACTAAAGTATGCTCCAAAAAATTTTATAAAAAATCTTTGCCTCAGTCGCTCAGTTCTTACACACTGCTCTTAGTCAAGAGTACATCATCAAGTTTAAATACTTTATTTGGTTGGATTTCCTTTTTTTGACTTCTCCAAAGATAAATGTACTAGACTATATTATTTTAAGGTACGATCGAATGCAATCAAGATCAGCGAAAACTCATATCACACTCGATGACTTGTTTGTGTTTACTTGGGTTTGTATGGAACTAAGCTGCTGGGACGGACTGTAAGTGGTACTACGTACTAGTAGTTACCTAGGTAGTTGTATAGAATAAGGGTAATCAAAACAGCAGTTAGGTTTTGATAAAATCTGCACCAATTTCAGGAAAAATACTGATCCCCTCGCTCCCTTCATGAAGCTTACGACGTAGGAATGGCAACAGCAGTCAAAAATCAAAACAGCATTTAGGTTTTGATAAAATCTGCATGAATCATACAGTTGAAAATATGTTTGGCGTTTTTTCTCCCCCTCTCGACTTCTAGTTAATTCCAGAAAAAAATCTGAATGAATAAGTTTTTACGCTGAAAAAATCAATTTAAAAGCCTTTTATAGTTAAAAAAGCATGAAACACATGCAAATTTTTTGCATAAAATTACCTCGT